CTTTGATTGTCACCATTGCTTTTTCATCCTTAATATTTTTTTCATTGGTTGTCACCATGAATGCTTTTGTGTAATATTTGTATTCTATTTTGTCCCCAAATGATGAAGCTTGTTAGCTTTCATCCAGTTACCGCTCATCTGTCCCTCCAAAGGAAGGTCTGTCCACTCGACTGTCAATGTCTTGGACCAAAATCTCTGCTATCCTTTGACTTTGTTAAGTCACCTCAACCCTAGATTAGAAGCCTTTAGACTTTGCTTGAAGTCTAAGAAACCCACCCATACTAGGAGTGTTCTTCAACTAGAACCCTAGGAAAGAGTTCGTCAACTCTGTGTAAGAATCATCGTCATGACTTCTTACTTCCCCTTCAACTTAGATTAGGGAGTTTTGTCAAACTCCACACAAACATTGTCATGTTTGTTCCCCGTTGAACCTTGATCATCATCAAGTGTTCTTTTCCCTTGTGAGGCGAACTACGATTGCTTTGATTCTATCCTAGTCAGGATACGTAGGCAGAAGGTGCGATGCCTTTGCGAGCAAACTTAGAAAACCACTTAGGCCTTTTTATTTATTTTATCTCAATCCCCAATCCTTAAACCATAGTGCACAATTCACGAACTTAGCAAGTAATTAAACAAAAGGTTCCTGTAGAGTACTACAGATATTTAGGGTGCTAATACCTTCTCAATCCCCAATCCTTAAACCATAGTGCACAATTCACGAACTTAGCAAGTAATTAAACAAAAGGTTCCTGTAGAGTACTACAGATATTTAGGGTGCTAATACCTTCTCTAGATATAACTAACCCCCGAATCCCCGAATCTCTTAAAAGCGTTGTCGTTACATCGCGAAAAAGGTTCTTTCTTTCTTTAGACCTATCCTTTGGATAAATTAAAGTCCGGTTGTAAAAAGAAATAAGGTTCAAGTTAATTAATAGCTTGATATCAAATTTTCACCGCAACAACAAGCATTTGGAATACTATCCGGTTGTGCGAATTACATTCAAGCTCGTTGTTTTAAATTGAATTTTATATCTTCGTACTTTACTTTCACATTGCACTCACGAACTCCCAATTGATTTGCCTTAGATAAACATCGTAATAATAGAAATCGATAGATTGACGTTTGGTGTCTGTGGGATCGATAATCTTTTATATTACTCTGACGCGATTCGTATACTTGCAAAATTACTGCATCAACCTCCTTCATGTCAACTTTATTTCCAGAATACTTATTACCCATGCATTTCTTGGTCGAAGCATAATGATTCTTTGAGTTCTTGCTTGACTTTTCATCATTATTAAGATTTTTCCCTGTTACGCCTTCTCTTTCCCGAATTTCTTGATAAAATTTTCCTGTAGTGCCTGTCCAACCACCTTCTCCTTTCCGAGTTCCTCTACTTCAGCCTCATCCCATGAGCATCTAATAATCCTTGAAGTTATTCTAACTTCATCTCAGCTAGGTTCTTATATTCTTCAATTGATACTACAATGTAATCAAAGTTCACAGTCAGAGTTCTCAAAACTTTCTCAATCTTTTGCACATCGTTGATTGATTCACCATACACATTTATCTGGTTTGTTAACAGTAACACACGTGAAAGGTATTTCAAGACTGATTCATATTCCTTCATATGAGTCATCTCTAATTGCTTTCTTAATGTCTGCAACTTCACCCTTTTAAGTTTTTCATCTCTGCCTTACAATTTCTTCAACTTGTCACACACTCCTTTCGTCGTTTCTATTTCAAGTATCTTCTCGAACACGTTAGGATCCACACACTGGTGAATCAAGAACATAGATTTTTCATCTTTCTTCCTTTAATCCTTGTGCACAACTTTTTAAACATCATTTGCATTCGCTTCCAATGTCGGTACTCCATCATTCACGATGTTAGACACATCTTGAAATATGAAGATGACCTTCATCTGTGGAACCTGCCATTTGTAGTTCTCTTCTTTGAAAACTGGTAGATTCGATGGAAATTGTGTTGATGTTATTTTTCTGTTTACCATTATAGATTCTCTCTGAATCACAACCCGGGCTCCTTGATACTAATTTGTTGGAACAAAAGGGGTTTCAAAAAAGATAAGAGAATAAGAAAAGGAAAGAAAAATAGACAGAAAATAAATTGTAGAAATTAGGATTTGTATTGAGTGAATTTTTTATGATTTACATCATATAATGCCTTTATAAATACAATTAAAGCTCGTGCCAAAAACTATATAAAACAACCCAAGCCCAAAGGAATATAAGTTATATTTTGACTGTGCCGAATACAACTTACTCTTATATCTTCGACTAACTACTTCGACATAGCGAATGCTAGCCTCCGACAGAACATCGAATTACAAATACTAACAGTTTTGTGGTATTTGGATCGAACTCTAGTAGCAACAAGGATAACTTCATTGTTCGACAGGAGTTTTGGATGTTGTAGTCGAAGTCTATTCGAGCACATTGTCAAAATATATTAACTTGTAATTTAAGTTAGTATGTCGAATTGGATCTTACTTATAAGCTCAATTGTTTAAATTAGCTTGTTTCCTAAGTTAGGGTGAGAAGATATATATCATGCTAGTCTCTCATATTTGAAAGGATGGTGAAAACCCTAATTAGGGTGAGAAGGGTTAATTGTTGGTATTCACTTGTAATCTTTGAACCCTTATTGAGAAAGTGAATAGTAAAACAGATTTAACCAATTCTCTATTCTTCTTTCTTCTTTTCTTATCCTTCGTGAAACTTAATAGGGTTTCCTCTCTTTGTTCAAGAAACTAAATCTTTTTCTCATAACTTTGTTCTATTATTGACGACATCAATTTCTCAGCAAATTGGTGCAATGAGCGTGGAGGAGAAGATGCAGTCAACAAAGTATGAGATTGAGAAATTCACCGGTGTGAATGATTTCGGTTTGTGGCGCTTGAAGATGCAGGCCCTTCTTGTTAAACATAGTTTGTTAGAAGCGTTGAAAGGATCGGAGAAGGAACAGACATTACCGAGTAGTAAGTTTTCCCATTGTATGCAGTTGATAAAGGTACACGATGAAAGCTATTTTATTCCTTTGTTTGTGTAGAGTTTTTTCCAAGGTTGAGATTTGTGGTATTTTGATCGAACTCTAGTGTCGAAAAGGATAACTTCATGGTTCGACAGGAGTTGTGTATGTTGTAGTCGAAGTCTGTTCGAGCAAACTGTTAAAATATATTAACTTGTAATTTAAGTTAGTATGTCGAATTGAGTCTTGCTTGTAAGCCCAAATATTTAAGTTATCTTGTTCCCTAAGTTAGCTTGTGTAATGGGTCTGTGTGTAAAAGTCCATTATGTTAGTATGTTAGTTTTCTTATAAATAACATGTTAGTCTCTCAACTTTGTAAGGGTGGTGAAAATCCTAATTAGGGTGAGAGAGGTTAATTGTTGGTATTCACTTGTAATCTTTAAACTCTTATTAAGAAAGTGAATAGTAAAACAGATTTAACCAATTCTCTATTCTTCTTCCTTCTTCTCTTTTCCTTTGTGAAACCTAATAGGTTTCTTGTGTTTATTCAAGAAATTCAATTTTTATCTCTTAACTTTGTTTTGTTATTGACGACATCATTTCACATTAATATATATATATATATGTGTATATATATATATATATATATATATATATATATATATATATATATATATATATTTATATATTTATATATATATATTTATATATATATATATATATATATATATATATATATATATATATATATATATATATATATATATATATATATATATATATATATATATATATATATATATATATATATATATATATATATATATATATATATATATATATATATATATATATATATATATATATATATATATATATATATATATATTCAATTACAAAATAATTTATTCATTGAAATGAAAAGCTACTATCTCAATTGAGCAATTCTTTCAATATCAACATGGTATTAGAGAACAATGCGCTCTGGTGATCATATTCTTGTTTAGTTTCTTAAACCATTCTTCTCCTTTGTCAACATTCTTTCCTTTTCTTTGTTCAATCATGGATCACCAGAGCTACTCAGATTTTTTAATGAACTATGCAAATTCCTATTACCCACAGCCGAATGAAAGCCCCACATCGAATCTTGTTGACACTCCCTTGGAAAACAAAAACTATTGTACATGGTCCGTTTTGTGTATGTCACGCTGATTTCGAAGAACAAAGAAAAATTCATTGATAGTTTGTTTCTCAAACCCTCATTTCTTGATCAATTATATGCTCAATGGATTCGGTGCAACATTATGGTACTTTCTTGAATTCAAAGATCAATTTCTGAATCAATTGATGTTTGTTTTATGAATTGATATTGCAGCTGAGTTTGGAAAAATATTTGCATTAGGCTTTCGTAGAGTGATATTTTCTGCATCTTAGATATTCAAAAAGATCTTTATAGTTTTCGCCAAAGTACTCTTAATGTTTTTTATACTTTACTCAATTGAAAGTACTCCTTCCTTGTTGTAAATGTTCCTTTACATGCACTTGTGCAGCTGTTAAATCTGCTAGAATATACTGTGAGCAAGTTTATGTGATTTGGTTTTTGAAAAGATTAAATGAGCGTTTTGCAAATTCAAAGTCACAAATTATGATGACGAACCTTTCTTCGATATTGATAAGGTTTTTTCAGTAGTTATTTAACAAAACGTGAAATGATTTCAATTGTTATCATGGATTATACTGATTTTACACCTGATTGCGTTAATTTTATAGGTTGTGATTCTTTTGAAATGAATATAATTTTTTAAACGATTATAATTAATAATTAACTGTTAGTTAATATATTTTTACATTAAAAGCATACACAAAATTAGTTATAGAAATACATTTTAGCATAGATAAGATCAAATTTAATAAAACCCTTAATCTTTTCTGTTTTCCACAAACCAAGCAAATTAGAGAAATGCCCACAAATCTAAAACCCTAGTGCAACAAACAGTGGAATTTATTCTAGTCATCTATAGGAAGTTGTTGATTTTCCATCTATACTAAGTTTCTTAAACGGCAACTCAGTTTCTTCAAGTAGTTTGATCTCAAACAATACATCCTCAATCGCCCCGGCCAATTTCATGTCATCATTAGCATTATAGAAACAATTTCTTCCCATAGCATCAAGAACCACTTTTCTCCAAACAGAATCACTGTTGATTAAAGTAGTTGCATTCCCTAATATCCAAAGGCAATATCTGAACAAAAATTGAACTCAGTTTTCAGTAAACATTGATACATCATAGTAAGATTGAAAATAATAGTATATAACATACCTAGCCCTAGTCATAGCCACATTTGCTCTTTGTCGGTTTGAAAGAAAACCGACATTACCGCTCCCGTTAGATCTCACAGTAGATATTATGATAATATCTTCTTCACCACCTTGAAAACCATCCACAGAACGAACACTAACAGAAAACTCTGAGTTAGAATTCGAAGTGTACTGCTTAACTTTCTCCTTGATTTCATAAACTTGAGCATTATACGGAGATATTATTCCAATGCTAACTTTCTTCTTTTTCCGCATGAACTCTGAAAAAGAAAACGAAGTTACACGTGATATGAATTCAGAGTTCATATAAAACTAAGGTTTTCAAAGACTCTAGAAAGATAAAATAACCTCTTTTAAGACTTTTAATTATCTCGGAAATAGCAGCAACCTCAACCATGTTCTTCAAACTATGTCCGCGACCAGTTTTCTCTTTACCTTCAGCAATGTTTATAAAAGAATACGAAGCAAACATTTCTCCTTCAAGGAAACACTTGTTATAGCTTTCTTCCATGACAACGCCCGCATTAGAAAGTTTTTCATCGTAAAACTCCTTGCATGGGAATAAGCTGATAGATGGATGCATTCTATACTGAATATTAAGCATTTTCCTTTTGTATCCCAATCTTACAAGCCTCTCAAACATACTTCTTCCGAAATCACACTTGTCAGCTATCTACAAATATTATATTTTGAAACTATCACAGAATAATCTTTTATTAATGCAAAAGTTTTAAGAAAACTATTAAGTACCTTGCTTTTGACCAATGCAGGAAGCTGTCTCTCATCACCTATAAGAATGCAATGGCTAAGACCAGGAAGCTGCAAAGGAATCGTAGATTCACATTCTTTTAGTTGTGCAGCTTCATCAATTACTAAAAATTTCACTGGAGTCATTCCTTCTGTGTACAGTTTACCAGAACTTGAAGCTGTACAGAAAATAAGACATGTGTTTGACAAACAAAATTGTTCTATATCACGTTTCATGTAAATATCGGGTAGAGAAATTGAGGAAGATAGCAAACTTAGAATGCTTAAAATCTCATCCCTTTTGTCACTTAACGGTCCAAAGCAATCAGACACAAATTTTTCTTCAAGGTCAAAAAGAGCTGGCTTGAATATGCATTGACTCAAGGAATTTTCAAAAGACTCGAGCATCTTAGGAGCTTGTAACATAACTTTGACTGTTTCAAGTGAAACAAAAGATTTTGGTAAATGAGTGTATAAGGCATGATTTAAGAACTCAAGGATCTCTCTTAAATTCCCAAATCTCTGCTTTACAAATTTTTCCAGTGAAATCACACATGCATTCTTGTCATCATCATCATCATCCAATTCATATTTCTGTGCAATCTCTTTCCATGCCTTCTGCACATATCTCTCAAATGTCATAGGATAAGCATCCATATTTTTTCCGGTTGCCAAGTCATCTAAGAAATGCTGTTCTTTATAGCCTTCAAGAATCTTGGTAAAGTGTTCATGTAACGTCCGCGAGCAAAGCGTGAGTCGCTCTCTTAATTCCAAGAATCTATCCTTTTCAACTGACGATTCCATGAATATCTGATTAACAAATTCCTCCATCGTCATGGTTCTTTTCTTTTTATCATGCTCTACCATTTGGTTTATCCCTGCAATGTCTTTCCATGCCTCATTCCCCATATTTTGCTTGTATGCACGATACGCACGGTATGCACATAACTCGAATAAATACTGCTCTTGAGGATCCCTAAGCAACCGTTTCATTAATTCCAAGATTTGCTTCCATCCAGTTATCCGATGGAAGCATTTCATAAGAATTTTAACCCGGTTATCAAGAAAAACAATTTCAAGACCCGGATAACAATCCAATTTCATTCTCTTACTATTGCCAAAAAGAACAATTTCACCTAAACCATATGTATCATACTCAAGTGAATCCATTACTAAACTATGCAATCGAATTGCCACCTGCAAAACTGCAGTATTAGTTGGAGCACACGTCAATGTTCTTGTTTGTATCTTTAGCAGAGAAAATAACAAGCATGCAACAGTTTTCGTTTTCCCAGTTCCTGGTGGTCCCCATATAAGTTTAACTTCAGAAGGATGACAGTTTTTCATATCAACACTGCTCATAACAGCATCTTGTTGAGATTCATTCAGATTTTGAGAACAAATTATCGCGTCTTCCTTGATGAATGGAGCATAACCAGTTACCTCTGAAAGACAAATTTGACAGTTTTCTCCACTCTGAAATACAAAGCAAGCATTTAACAGGTTACATTCATAAGGTATTACACTGAGTGATTCTTACTTTTAGATCGGGATGCAATACTTTTTCTTACTTTTAGATCGGGCTGCAATACTTTTTCAATAATGCTTCCATGCGACTTAGAGTTCAAGGCTTTCCAAATCCGAACATTTGTGGTCATGTTCATAAGGTAAACTGCATACAACTTCTGAGTTTCAAAGTCCCTCTTGTCAGATTCAAAATCTTTGTTAATACATTTAGATGAAATAACTTGGATTTTCTTATCAAATTCAGACTTTGGACCAAGAACAAAAGCAACATGGTAGGGACTCTTCGGAGTGTTCAACTTCAAGTCATCTACACTTTTAGGTCTAATATCTGTGAACAAAACAAGATCTCCATACTCAGGCTCATACTTTCCAACATCTTTTTCAAACTCTATATTATAGATCAAAGGTTTGGGAAGATTGAATAGCTTGCTGTCGTCTCTTTCAAGTTTCAAGATTTCACAGAAAGGCGCTCGAGCAACACCAGACAAGCTTGAAGATAAATCACTGTGTGTTTCCTCTAGCAATAGAGGAATAAAGGCTTTCTTGTAATCTGTAGGTGAATCAAATGTCTCTGGAATCTTCTTCACCTGAGAGAAAAAAAGTATTCATTTCAATATAACATGATAGTAAAGAAAACATTTTGGATTCAAAACTATATTTACCTTGTATTTGTACAGATTTTCGTTAAAAACGTCTTGTAGAGTCCATGAGAATACTTTATCTAAAAGCCCGACAATTTCATTAGCTTCCTTTTCGGTTTCATTATTAGTCTTCTCCATCATTTGCTCCTTAAATAAACCTAAAGCAACCATTAAGAAAAACAAAATCAGTACCAAAACACAGACATAGTTATAGACAGAATAGCTAGTTTAAGTTGTTGTTGAAGTAGATGAGCTTATTGTGAAATGAGAGAAAAAGCAAGTTGTGGAACATAAATAAAACAAGAAAAATGTCAAAAAATGAGTACTTACTGTTATTATCAGTCTTAAACAATGGTGAGATGTTAGCTTCATGCAATGTTGGATAGTTTTGGTGATAAGTGAATGAGATTGAAATTTATTTGTATAGTTGATTGGAGGGATGGTACTTGAAACGGCACACGATTAGTGTGCTTCCGTAGGAAACTACAATACGCATGATGCGCATTGTTTTCTCAAAAAAGTGCAACAGCTTTTCGTTTCCATATGTATGAATTGATGACTGGTTGTATTGCTTTTAAGGTTTATAGTAGTGAACAATAATAACATTAACAGTAATAATAAGAAAATGCTAACAAATTTTAAATGATTTAATACTAGTAATTTTAATATATTCTTAAATTAACTCAACATTTAACTTAATGTAGGCAGTAATTAAATATTAACTATAGATGTGTGAGGCAACTGTGTTAAGTTAAATGAGAATGAATGAATCAATAATTTTTGTTAAACAAATATAAACTAGAATATTTTAATAGATTTAATTTGTATTTTAAATGAAATCTACAAATTTAATTGCATTTAGCTCATTTTCTTGATTGATGTTAAATTTTTTTTTTAATAAGTAAATTTTTTTTTCTGCTTATAATAGTGATGGAATTAAGTATTCATTAACAATGTAAAACTATTTTACATTATCAATAGATTATCATTAAATTTATAACAATAAGTCTAGCTCTACTGAAGGTTTCTATTATGATTTGTTATTGTTAAATAACATTCTTTTAATTAAATGAATTATATATTTGTTAATTTCAGTTAGTGTTGGCTAAAAGTACGTTTAGATTATATATAAAATGGAAAATTTTACGATGAAATCACACAAATGATTTTTTTTAAGTCATTAATTTAGCCAATGAAAAAACATGGTTGACTTAGTCAATGCTACATACGATTATAGGGTAGATACGGTTTACTATGAATTTTCATATTTATTAATATTGCAATCAAGTCTCTAATTGTAATAAAATTATCCAATTTTAATATTAATTTTAAATTTTAATAGTTATTCTGAAAATTAATTAAAACAACTTTTGGTGGCCCAAATTTACCGTGCTCGTTGTCATTTCATCCCAAACTGCAGACGAACATCAACATTATATTCATTTTCATCTTGTTCATTTCACATGAAACCTAATTTCATGTTCATCTGCCATTGTCGATAAAACTGAAGTTATTCATCATGCTCATTTGTCATTAATTTCATATTTTTTTCCAACACTGTAAACGAACATTAACATAATATTCATCGTATTCGTCAGTCACCGTTGAACAAACTGATATTTACTATTCTTTTAATGTTCACCAATTCAATTGCACATCAAACATAATACTAATAAAAATCTGCATTCGAGGGCGAAATTGAAAGAAAAAAAAAGTAGTTTGTTAGTGTTTCTATTGAGAACACAATTGTCAAGGCAAAAACGAAAATGTTTGTTATATTAATTTAAAATTAATTATTAAGATTTACAGATTCTGAGTAAAGTTTAATTGGAAGTGTTAAATTTGATTTCAATTTCGGAATTAAGGTTTATATTTGAATTTGTCTTTTGTATATGTGTTTTGTATTTAATGATTTTTATTTTTAAATATGTAAATTAGGGTTTGTGCTTGAAATTGTTTTCAATATGTGAATTAAGAATTATGCTTGAATTTTCTTTTTCTATATATGGGTTTTGTATTTAATGATTTTCAATTTTCAATTATTATAGTTACCTTTAGGGTTGGAAATGAGTCGAGTCGAGTCGAACTCACCTCAGTTCGCCTCGACTCGTTAAGAATTGGTTCGAGTTCGACACAAACTTTTTTTTAAGCTCAAACTCGACTCGTTATAAGTTCAAGAACAGTTCAGTTCAACTCGTTAGGTTCATCTCATTAGGTTCAGCTCATATGATTCATGAACTTAAAAACTATATATATATATATATATATATATATATATATATATATATATATATATATATATATATATATATATATATATATATATATATATATATATATATTTTAGTATATTTGACATTTTAAATAAATATATATTTTTTAAATAAAATATTAAAATAAAATAAAAGTTATCATATTAAAATTTAACTTTATCTTCGAAATCTACTAATTCAAAACCTACACAACTTTCAAGAGATACATTTGAGAGTCTAATTCAAAAATTACTAAATTGAAGATTAAATTTGTCTAAGATTTGGAGTAAATATTTAAACCTAATCTTAAAGACAGTATAATTTTTCTCATATGTAATTGAGTTGACTCATGAACCTAACGAGTTGAACTATGTATAGTTCAAGTTCAGCTCATTTAGTTAACGAATTTAATTTTTCGCTCATACTCAACTCATTTGGTTCATGAACCTAGTTCAACGATTTAATTGTCGAATCGAATTCCGAACTATTTTCGAGTTGGTTCGGTTCATTATCAGCCCTAGTTACCTTTGATTTAATTAGGAAGTTAGATATTGTGATCGATGTAGAGTTTTGTTGTGTTAAAAATTGCGTTAATTCAGGTTTATTATGAAAAACTACGACAATTTTGATTTCAATGACGTTCATTTCACTGATGGTGATATATTTGATGTTAAACTGAATGATGTTGAGGATGATAGTTATTCGGTATCTAATGGGTATCAAAGTTTAGATGATGGTGATGATGCTGATAATATTCACAATGATGACTTGGTTGAAGTAGATGCAGTTGTAGGTGATAGATTAGTGAGAATTGTCTCTATTACTTCTGATGAAATTTGTGTTATGAAATTTGGTACTGTTGATGAAGTTTATGAATTTTATTATCGATATGGTAATTGTAAAGACTTTGCCATCAGGAAACGTAATGTTAGGACAAGAGGGTCTGAAGGTAGTCAAATAACAGTAATGAGACAGTTTGTTATTGTAAATTATTAACAATTAATAATATTAAGTGTGTTCAAAAATGACAAGAAAATATTCAAGTGAAGATTAATTTTTGAATTCAGAAATAGTCAATACTTAGGAAGTGTTGTAGTAGGTTTGAATTCAGAAATAGGCAACACTTGTAAAGTGTTGCAGTAGGTTTGAATTCAAAAATAGGCAACACTTCGTGAATTTTGCAAAATGAATGTATGCAACTCTTGAAGAATGTTGTTGTAGGCAAAACAATGTAATTTTTTTTTTTATAAAAGTACATAATTTTTGGCAAAAGCTTGTAACTCTTGGTAAAAGGAAGTTGTTTCACCAAGAGTCGCAACATTGTGAAACAACAACAATATGACCTATAAATACTTCATTCTGGATTAAGAAAAATATAACAAAAAACATATATAGTCTTCACTAAAATTTCGGATACCCTTCCCTAGGTTCGAGTTTTCATCGATCTTGTGCAAACTCGAGTATAGGCTGAATTTTCTTAGGTATTCCTGCGTTTCAACTCTAAGATATTTTAAAGTGTTTAAAATACTTATAAAAAAAGTGATTTCGTTCATGATTCTAGCCTCGATCAATTCGACTTAAATAAATTTTCTAACAATCTTATAAGTAGTTACAAATAATGGCAATTAAAACTTATGTTTTAAACATCAAAGGATAAATTGTTGTGTCGTATACACATTCTAAACACCAAAAGAATTTATATCATAAATTCGAGTACAATTTTATTATTTCACATAGAAATTAAAGTATTGTAAAAATCATTATTATTAAGATTCATATTCAATTTTACTATTAGAGCATAATTAACAAGATCATAACTTTCCTGGTAATGATTAAATAATACAAATATATCTGGAGTTACTTGATATATGACAAAAAGGCAGCGCTGAAGTTTTCCCAATACCTGCTTCCAAGTTTTCAAGCGCCTCGGGTTGAACTAGAGGTGGCAATATGATTCATTAAGACAAAATCCATCCAATCCATCCATCAAAAAATCCATCCAATCCATCCATCCTATAAAAAATAAGTTAATGGATTGGATTAAATCCATCCATTTATATGCATGGATGGATTCAATTCATCCAACATATTTTGACAATCCAATGGATTATTTTTATTTTTGTTATATTATTTTTTTAAAAATAATAAAAAGTAAATTTTTTAAAATTTAAATAAAAATAAATTTTTTAAAAGAAAAAAATTATTTTTTTTCAATAAAAAAACTGTAATTTTTTTTTAAAAAAAAATCAATTTTTTTTTGAAAAAAAATCTGCTTTTTTTTTAAAAAAAAGTCTATTTTTTTTTTGAAAAAAAAATCTGTTTTTCTTTTTTTGAAAAAAATATGTTTTTTTTTTCAAAATAAAAAACTGATTTGTTTTTCGAAAAAAAATTGATTTTTTAAAAAAAAGATTTTTTTTAAGAAAGAAATGATTTTTTTTTCGAAACAAAAAACAAATTTCTTTTTTAATAAAAAAAGAAATTTTTTCGAAAAAAAACTGACTTTTTCTAAAATACAAAAAACCGACTTCATAATTTTTTATAAAATTTAAAATATAATTCAGGGTTCACCTTTTCTATTTTCAATGGTGAGATATAAGTTACCACAATCGGACTATAGATTAAAAGTTTTCAATGGTGAGATATAAATTACCACAATCGGACTATATATGAGATATAAGTTACCACAATCGGACTATAGATTAAAAGTTTTTAATGGTGAGATATAAGTTACCACAATCAGACTATAGATTAAAAGTTTTGAAAAATTAAAATTTTAGCTTCGTAAATATTATATATAAATGACATATTAATCATTAGAAATGATATCCCTATCTAAGGGGAGTGAAAAAATGGTTGAATAAATGCTTTTATATTAGTTTCACTGGCTAAATAAATGCTTGTATATTAATGAATTTATAATTTATGCATAAAACGCATTTTGATTACCTGAAATTAAGTTACCTAAAACGCTCTTCAACCTTCCAGCCAAGAGTTTAGATAGAATTTTGAGGAGGCAACCAACCAAACAGATAGGTCTATACTTCTTAAGAGACAAAGGGTTTGCATTCTTAGGGACCAAAGTAAAAAATGACGACGTAATAGACTTGGGCAGCATGGGGTTATCATGGAAACCAGAAACAAAACTAAGGATATCTTGTTTCATAAAGTGCCAGCATTTTCCAATGAAGAAGAAATTGTATCCATCCGGGCCAAGGCTTTTAGAAGGGTCGCAATCCCAAACCGCAGCTTTAATTTCGTGCTCCAAAAAACCAGCTTCAAGCAAAGCACATCTGACTCCAAAAGAGATTTAAAACTACAACCTTGAAGGATAGATCTCGAGCTATCCGGTTCTAAGAATTTGGAATGAAAGTGTCTCCTAACCTCCTCCTTGATATCATACACTTCTTCTATCATACCTCTGTTAGATAATAAAGATCCAATGTAGTTGTTGTTGGTGATTTTAGTATCATCAATGTATTTTAGTAGTAATGTGATTTACTGTAGGCCGGTGCAATTATGCGTTAAGCTTGGAAACGAGTTAGGGTAGTGCGGAGTGCACGCTCGTCGAGCCAACGTGTAATTAAATGTGAATAATTGAAAAGGGGTTCTGAGGGGCGTAGCCCCTAGCAGGGTGCGGGGCAGCGCCCCGTTCGAAATTTTTGAACAGTTGAACCATTTCCCAACCGACTTAACCGTTTATGAACAATTGTTATGAATCTCCTATATAAGGAGTCATTTGGCCTCAGTTTAAAATACTTAACAAAACCATACTTTCTCTCTACATTCCTGATCTGTTTTCTATTGCCAGAAGCAGATTGTTCTTCAAGAATTATCCCCACAAAGATTTCGTGAATCCAGGCAATAATAGGATCGAAATACTTTGTTCGGAAAGTGTACGAACACGATTCCTCGAAGTTATCTGGGATTATCATACTCAATTTCTAACAAACAAACAAAGTAATTTCTGATAATCTTGGCTGGAGGAAGCACCATCAAGGAGATGACTATGAATTTTGGAAAATTGGACAAGTTTCAAGGACAAGACTTCAGGCGTTGGCAGAAGAAGATGCATTTCATGTTAACAACGTTGAAGGTAGCGTACGTCCTGTCTACACCGATTCCAGAACTTCAGGAGGAAAACACGGTTAAAAATCTGAGACGCAGATCAAAGTGGGAGAACGACGACTACATATGCAGAGGGCACATTCTTAACAGTATGTCTGATCCCTTATTTGATATTTATCAAAACATGGAATCTGCAAAGGAATTGTGGGATTGTCTCGAATCCAAGTACATGGCAGAGGACTCATCCAGTAAAAAGTTCCTGGTAACCGATTTCAACAATTACAAAATGGTTGAATCGAGGTCTGTCATGGAAAATTCAATGAACTCCTCCGAATCCTTGGACAGTTCACACAACACGGATTGAAGATGGATGAAACAATATCTGTCTCAAGCATCATAGACAAGTTGCCTCCTTCGTGGAAGGATTTCAAACACAATATGAAGCATGGAAAAGACGAAGTGCCTTTGATCCAACTTGGAAGTCACTTGCGCATAGAATAATCTCTAAGAGCGCAGGAGGGTGACAAAGGAAAAGGCAAAGAAATTGCTGGACCCTCGGTTAATATGGTCGAAGAGGGTGGTAAGAACGATAACAACAAAAACAAAGGAAAGAAGCGTGCTTTCAAGAACAAAAAAGGCAGTTTCGGTGCTAACAAGAAACCGAAACTAGAATGTTGGAAGTTTGGCAAAATAGGTCACTTCAAGAAGGATTGCCGTTCCGGAAAAAGGCACGATAATGCGAATGCAAGTGGTTTAGGAAAGGGGTCTAAGGACCAATCCGAAAACCAAGGTTAGAAATCAATTCGTCATTTGAATAGTTTGATTAAACATTCGGTTTCACTAAATTCTGAAGCATTTTATGTGCAGGATGATGCTATCGCGTGGTGGATTGACTCTGGCGCCACAACACATGTTTGCAAGGATCGTTTCTGGTTTAAGACTTTTGTTCCAATGAAAGATGGTTTTGTCCTCTACATGGGAGATGATCACTTCGCTCCCGTTGAAGGCAAAGGAAACGTGGTGCTAGAATTCAGTTCTCGAAAGACTATTACTTTGTTTAATATTTTGTATGTACCTAAACTACGTAAGAATTTAATTTCTGGTCCTGTATTAAACAAGCTTGGATACAAGAAAGTGTGTGAATCCGATAAATATGTTTTACCGAAGTCTGGTGTGTTTGTAGGATTTGGATATTATAATAACGGTATGTTTATTATGAATTTGAATGGAGTTCCTAATGATTCTGGTTCTGTATTTATGTCCTCTTCGAATGTTATCAATTCATCGTTATGGCATGCTCGTCTAGGACATGTACATTATAAAAGAATGCATGAAATGTCTAAAGATGATTTAATTCCTGTTTTTGATGAAAATGTAGAAAAGTGTAAAACTTGCATGTTAACAAAGATCACTAGGCAACCTTTTAAAAGTATAACAAGGAAATCTATCATTCTTGAGTTAATACATAGTGATTTATGTGATTTGCATGCTACTCCATCATTAGGGCATAAAAAATACTTTGTCACTTTCATAGATGATGCATATAGATTCTGCTATGTTTATTTGTGGCACGCTAAGGACGAAGCCTTAGATAAATTCAAAATTTATAAAACTGAAGTTGAAGTGCAATAGAATGTGTTGATTAAAACATTACGTACAGATAGAGGTGGTGAATATTATGATCCTGTATTTTTCCAATCCGTAGGAATTATTCATGAGACTACGACACCTTATACACCTCAAAAAAATGGTGTGGCTGAAAGGAAAAATAGAGTTCTTAAAGAAATGGTGAATGCCATGTTATCTTACTCTGGTTTGAGTGAAGGGTTTTGGGGAGAAGTTATGTTAACGGCTTGCTATTTGTTAAATAGGGTTCCTAATAAAAGGAACAAAACTACCCCATATGAACTTTGGAATAAGAAACGACCCAA